ATATTGTTGACGCCACGTCGCGTACTCTCTCTCTCTCTCTCTCTGTCTCTCGCTCTGCACCGGTGATGGTGGCTTTCTCTGGCTCTCTCGACGCACGTTGGCCGCCGTTGACACGTTTATGGGCACGGGTGGCTCCGGGGGCCAGGGCCGTGTGACGTCCCTTGTTTTATATTTTCAGTGACGGCTGCCGCGGCACGCGTTCGTTAGTCCGCTTCGGCCGCTTTCGAATGTTTGCGGCGCGAAGTGGTCTCGCCGCGCGTTCATCGGTTTTTATATTACAATCGTGGCGAGATAATATTTGCCTGCGATTTTTGTTTCATACCTACCATTCCAGGGCGATAACCTGGCGCGCGCGCGCGCGCGCACTCCTCCTACATGGCGTTATTTTTTACCCATCGAAACTCTATTCCTCGGCGTTGTATATTTTTTTCCCTTTTTTTTGTTTGGTCCCAATCCCCCCCCCTCCCCTCCCTCGTTTTCCCGTAAATACTCTGTTTCCCTCTCGTTTCTTCTTGTTCTGTTTTCCGTTCGTTTTTTTTTTCTTCTTTTTTTTTTTCTTTTTTTTCGTTTTTTTCGATGACGGTTCATAGGATTGCAGAGGATTGAAGGGAGAGAAATGAATCGGATCACCGAGTTCGTTATCGAGTATCACTTTTTATTTAATCGTCTCTCGTCACGATTCTGTGATTATTCTCTAAGCCAGACAATATTTACAAATTTTTTTTTTCAGCTTCTCGTTTGTTTATGTATCTCCGTGTACGCGTTCCTCTCCTTTGTTTTTTCTCTTTTTAATCGTTTTCTGTCACTTGCTTTCCGTCTCACTTTTAAGGGACGTAGAAAAATATCATAGTATACTTAAAGATTGACGTATGTATATATAGTAAATATACATATACATATATATATAATATATGTATATATAATATATATACGTATATACAAAATGTACAGGGGGAGAAAACGCGACGAGGATTGCCAGCGTTTGTTTCTAATCAACGCGCCATTTTGCCGACAAAATGGTGGCTGTACGCGCAACGAGCGGAACGAACTGTTTGATTTCTCGTGCCTGCCACTTAAAAAAAAAAA